CTATAGGTACATACATAATTTGAATTTTATATATATAGATAGATAATTCAAAAAATTACATTTTATCAACTAATTGCACTCGATGTTTAGTTTTATAAATGAGGTAATAATTTTGGCATCGAATACTTCGAATACTTAGTAACAAAATCCGAAAACTTGTCGAGTGAGTATCAATTCTAGTCGACTTGAGGTGGCCGAACTCGAGTCCAAAAGTAGAGTTTTTCAGCAGATAGTCGATCTTTGACTTAAGTCAGAGCCGACTTTTCCATCCCTAAACAGAAGCATTTCAGTTCGATTGGGCTTTCGGCTGTAGGGCCGTGTGGAACCTAGATTTTCTCACGCCTTTTGATGGCATTTCACTTAATAAAGAGACATAGTGGTGTCTCTTTAGCTGCGCGACTTCTTAATCCTTTCAACTCCGATTCTTTTCCGGCAAAAGTCCTATCAGTCTTGTTGGACTTGTATAAACCATTTAAGTTAGAAAAAATTTGAATTATCGGCTTATCTAACTAAATTATTTCCAATATACCCATCTCAAAGGTCGGTTTTGATGAGGCGCTACGCTTGGAATTGGATGTTCTTGGACATAGCAACATACAAACCACTTGCATCTGTCCGTTCTTCATACAGGCCACCGGCATGTTCGATGATGTCAATGCCAGGTAAAACAATACATACATACAATAAATATATCTAACTGAAAAATGCTAATATAATCGCTTTTTAGATGGGTACCCACACTAAACCCCAACGATGTAGCCGATCGCATCATACTGGCGATCAAGAAGAACGAGAAAATTACAATCATTCCAGGCTACATTCGGCTGCTGCTCTCGCTTAAATGGTAAGTGTTGATGGCATAACATATTTTTGAGACCGCGAAATAAAATATTTGCTAAATCCGTATTTTTTCTCCCTGCATTGTCACAGGACGTTCCCTTGGGGCTGCGTAGGCGGTCTGTTGCGTCGGCTTGTGCCTGATGCGGCACCACATGGCGTTGCACAAACACCTCCAGCCACGGCCAGCAGCACAAAGCAAACGCAACAACTATTAAACAACAACAACAGCATTCCAGCCACCACAATCGCCCACTCCAGCAGCGCGATACCCAAGCACACCACCGAACTGTGCACCGAATTCAGCGAAACGCTGCCGAAGACCGCCTCGTTGCTGGTGCAACGTACTCCGTCACTGGGCGAGCGCGTACTCTGA